AGGGTTCCCATAAAGAGCCCCATTACTGTCCTTTTGCTCTCTACTGGAAAGGTCTGTTAACTCTTTATAGCAAAATACAGGGTGGAAGGACTCCTTTTCCCACATCTGAGAAGCGAATCAACTGTGAAATCTATGGTATAAACCCAGGACTGTGTGAAACCCCTTCCAGTTGAGTAGCTTTACACTAACATGAAGTCCATTTTGTCCCTTGATTAAAAGCTTAACTGAACACTTGGCAGCCCTCCATGGGTGCTGGCAGATTATCAGCTGAGAACAGGAGATTGTGCATTGCCTGAACCTAGTTACCCAGATGGTATTTCCCTAAAAGCAAAGCTCGAGACAACGTTTATTAATATTTGGAGATATTATTTTGGTATCAAGGATGGCAGGGAAGGTTAAGACAGCGAGGGAGAGAGATAATATAGGACATTAACTCCTCATATATCTGGATGGCATATTAGTGTTAAATGAGCGTTCCTGGCATCTGAGAGCACTGGATCATGGTGGAAGGAAGCAAGAGTTATAGAACCTGGTCAAAGAAACCACAGGAGACTTCTCCTGCAGAAAACCTGCAGAGCTTGCTTGGAAATGGTCACCACAGCCCTGGTTCTGAGCCAAGTTTGAGAGAACTTGAGAAACTCAGAGTAGGGAGGTGTTTGACTTTCTGTATGTTGCCTAGTACACATGAAGCTGGTATCCCATCTCTCCCTGTCTCTTTCTGGGGTGCTTCAAACAGATAGGAAACATGAAAGTTGCAATCTTCAGCATGCATTGCTGAAGTTTCTTTCTGCCATTCTGTATTTTTTCCTGATGTCATCCTTTTCTCTCAGGAAATAGAAATGGACAATGTACCAATTTTTTTGAGTGATCGGGAACATCTGGAACATGCACCTGGGAGGAATGAACCACTGCCTCTTCTTTGCCTTTCTCCTGCCTCTTTTGGGTAGCGAAACTTGATTCAGCACCAACACCTCATTATGATTCTCATTTCAGTCTCTTGGGTTTTATAATCAGAGGGAAATTCCTCTTGAGGTTACACAATGCTGTGGCTGCCAGGTGTGGTCACAGGTTTGTAGTCCGGAATAAGTATTTGAGAGAAAAGTGGGATAGGATGGAGCCAGTCCTCATTACAACCTCATTACAGTGAGGCCCCATGCCCCTTCCTGCCTCACCTTCATAGAGGGGTGTTGGTGTTTTTGCTTTTGATGCCAGCACATCTGGCTGTTAGACTCCTCACCATTCAAAAGGAGGTAGCAAGCCTACTCTTTGCTCAGCTGGCTCTTAAAGGCAGGTTCCAAATTTACCCAACAGCTCAGAATAGCTATTTTCCTGATAATTGTCTGGGATAAAAACCTCCATCCAGCTCCTGGACACACAGAGAGAAGAGCACTGTGATGCTCAGAGAGTGGAATGCTCAAGATTCTGTAAGCCGACACCTTGTTTAGGACCGACTTGCCAAGAAATGTGTAGCTGGGCCCCTTCATTTTGGCCCTTCAGTTAAGAGCATCTTAGGAACTGTTCAACGGAATGAGGTCATCAGCCTGCAGAGACAGGGATTGTCCTTGCAGAGATCATTGTCTGCTAAGGCTGTTGCTGAAGCTATTATTTGTAATGGAAGTTTCTGACAAAAGCCTTTTTGTCTAGGCTCTGTAGCAGGAATGCTTTTATTGCTTTTATTTATGTTAAGCAATTGACTTAATTTTCTTCTTTGGACATTGTTGGACTAGTTGACCACATTCTTCTTGCTTTGGATGAAAATACCAAATTTTTGGCGCTACCTTAAACAAGGTGTAGATCTTTTGGAATGGCCACCTATATTTTCTTATCATCTTATCTATTCTACCTTCATTTTTTTACATTTTGTTTTCTTCACTTTCTGCATAATTGGCTTTTCTGAATATGAATGGAATGTAAAATTTAGAAAATACAGAAATTTATAAGTGAAAATTACTATTTTGTTCCCTGTGATGAAAGATGATTTTGAAAGTTTTTAATGGATTATATACTTAGTTTATTGTCTCTATGCATCTCTACTTCTTTTGATATTATTACAGCTATCTGGATATGTCTATGGTTAGAATTTGGAATACTTTCCATGAGCTCATATTTTCAGTGCCTGGTCCTCAGCTTGTGGAGCTATTTTGAAGACTGGGGAACCTTTAGAACAGTGGTTCTCAACTTTCCTAATGTTGTGACCCTTTAATACAGTTCTTCATGTTGTTATGACCCCCTAACCATAAAATTATTTCATTGCTACTTCATAACTGTAATTTTGCTACTATTATGAATTACAATGTAAATATCTCATATGCAGGATATCTGATATGTGACCCCAAAGGGATTGTGACCCATAGGTTGAGAAGCACTGATTTAGAAGTTTCAGCCAAGGGACACATGAAGAAAGATGTGCCACTTCTGTCCGCCTCTCCTCAGGGCTAAAGCAGACGGGGAAGGCTATTCTTCAGGGTTAACACTGGCCCCACAGCTGGGATGATGTCTTTAGTAGACATTGTGGTAACTTTTGGCGTCAATGCACTCAAACTAACTTAGACTCTAGTCCAAGAGCACTGCAAAGACTTCAGGGAAGACAAAAAGGTGTTTATGTAAGCATGTGTGCATCAAAAGATGGACACATCTTGCTGTCAAGGAAGAAGAGAAAACGTCCCTGAATATACAATTTGATGCCAAGTACATAGAAAATTACACAAGTATATTTTGCCGAGGAGGATCTGGAATGACTGAACAGTAACAAATGCTTTGAAATGGTAACTTTGTTTTATGCCCTCATTTATGGTTATTTCATTCTGGCAAGTGAGTATGTGTGATTTTTACAAAAACACTTTTCAAAGGTATTAGCTCTTTGGAAAGAAAGTTATTATGTCCTAAAGTACCTTTGCTATTATATATTATGTATAATTTTTCATCTTTTTAATTTTCTTTTCTCAGTGTCATCTATTACATTTTTGACCCCAAAAGAATAATTATAGCAGGCAGAATGAGTGAGATTAACATGACCAAGGACAGAGTGGCAAGGATAACTAGCTGGCAGGACACCAGGTTTCCCAGTCAGGGCCAAGCTGGCAAGCCCGGGTTTTTAGGCTCTGGAGCTTTGGAGGGTGTCTTTTTGGGACTACATTTAGGCCTCTCAGGCAGAGAAGCCCTGCCTCATTGCCAGCGTTGAAGGGGAACCAAATGAACCATGGGCTCTAGACCCATGGCTTGTTCAGGTCACACTTGTGTCTGGATACAGCCAAAGAAATCGGGACTCAGTAAACTCCAAAGAGGAGGATTTTGTTTCTTCTGTTCTGCTAGCAAATGTATGGCATATGCGTCAAACTCACAGGTTAGAAGCTTCACCTTTGAGCCTACTTGTCCCCTTTCCTCCTGGGCTCCTCTCCAAACCCCGCTAATAGCAACGTGTGTCCTCCCCGGGAAAGAGAACACTAATAGGTTTTCCAGTGCCAAGTGGTGAACCTTGAAAACATATATACAAGCCACATTATATAGACTCAAGAGGTTATATGTTGAAATATATATGTCTATATACATAAATGTGTGTATATACATACATACACACACATATCAATGTAATAACAACTGATAAAAAAGAGGTGATGGAACTGAAGGAGTGAGGAGGGGTATATGGGAGGATTTAGAGGGTGGAAAGTGAAGGGGGAAATGTTGCAATTAAAATACAATCTCAAAAAACCCCCCGGCAGTGACTGTTTAACTTTAGCTTGCACTGCAATTGTTAGAGGGCACCCATTAAACACCAGCAACCCAGCATGCTTGTGTATCTTCTAAGTGAAATGAGTGATGCAGGTGACTTTGAGATTAGAGATTAACAGGTGAACCAGACACCAATGGTAGGACGGCTAAACTAATTTTTTTTTTTTTGAAAATTGACGAGAGGCCTTTATGAAGAGGAAGAATCACTCTCCTGATGGTAAGTATTTCAAAGAGTTCAATTTGCTCACTGGATGCTATACGCATGTATCTTTCAAGCAAAGCCTAGTCAGATGTTGTCTATCATGCACCTGCCATCACCATATGCCCAGGCTAGGTAGCGGGGAGCAGATAAGAGGTACAGAGAACTCAGCCATACCAGCCAATGTGCCTGGCCTTGAGCAGAGCCCCAGGACGGTGAATGTATAAGAGAATTCTGCTGAATTGGAATCCCAGATGAATGCTATAAAAGGCTTGCATCTCTGAATTTTGTTGCTGGTTATTATGTAGCTGTAGCTAACTGACGGTTTACTACACGAGTAGTTGGCTAACAGGCAGACTCCGAAGTTTTGATGTAGGACCTCAAAGTGTGCATGACTGAGAAGATGGCTCAGTGGGTAAAAGCATTTGCCAGGGAAGTGTGAGAACCTCAGTTTGGATGCCCAGAGCTCACACAAACCTGGATGCAGTGATAGACACATACAATCTCAGTGCACTGATGCAGAGGGGAAGGTGGAGGCAAGAGAATCCCTGGAAGCTCTTGGGCCAGCTATCCTGGCACTTGCAGTGGTGAACAACAGAAGACCACTTCTCAGACAAGGTCAAAGGTGAGGGTTGACCCCCCAAGGTTGTCTTTCTGATCTTTACATGTTGTTCCCTGGCATATGAACGCACACACACACAAACACACACACAGAGCAACACACTTACAGAGAGACAGAGTGATACTTTAAAAATATTTGCTTACAAATGTCCCATTGATTCTCAAGCCAGTATTCTGAACCACAGTCAAGGACACGCTGCTTTAAATACATAAAATACAACCCTTCTACTAGTTCAGTGTACACTTATAGGAAAGTCCCTTGATATTGCTATGCCTCAACTTTCTCATTTGCATGCCTTGTGTTATGGTTGTAGGGTTAAAGAGGCAAATTAAAATAAATCTAGCTGATAGTAGTATCTTTAATTCTTGTATTTCAATTTGTCTCTTCTCATCTCCCCCTCATTCCCAGGAAGACACAAGTGTGAATATCTTAGGAAAACATGAATTTCAGGGTCACAGCTTTATTGTATAGATTTTTTTTAACACAGCCATATTACAAACATTGTCAGGGAACATTTACAAGAATAAATAAGATGGACTTGCAGGTGTAAAAAGATTACACGTCACTTTAATGTACAGTCAAAAAATATATCTGATATTCATTGACCTGACATTATTTACCTTCTGTTTTTTGAAGCTAGAACTGGAAAGAAAAAGGAAAAAAAAAACAAGAAAACAAAACAAAAAAATCGACAGCACAGTGCTGGCTTTATTTTTTGAAGTTGATTTATTTTGTTTTCTCTTCTCATACGTGCTTTATCTATCAAACACCCAAACTGTACAAGTGCAGGCCACTGGAATTTGTGGAGGCGTCAAATAGTGTGGAGACTTTGGTCTCATGTGATATCATACGCCACATGGGTATGAAAATGTCAGCCTCCCTAGTATAGACTGGGGACCTCATGATAGCCCGTGGAGAGCTGTACTGGTAGCCACTAGCCAAGGCAACCATAGAAGCTATGACTGGACCTTTGATTGGCTACTAGGATATAGAGTGGAGAGAGAAGGTAGAATGTGATTTTGAGCCTGATTGCAAATATGAGTTAACCTGGGCTATCCCGAGATCCAGTTGGTAATAAAATGTATGCATTGGGAATGATTATGATCGGGTGTCCACAGAGTCACTGTGCTTTTGAAATCTTTTCCTGCAGGCCTTGAGTAGGGACTGAAGGCTGAATCAACCTTTGGAGTTAGCAGGAAGCAAAGTCTTGTTACGACTCCTGCCTGGACCTTTATTGGTTCTGGCTGTCACTGAGAACCTTTATGGCCAGTGGGTCTGGGTGATGGCTGTCCTTCTCAGTAAGCATCAGGTGTATGGCCAAGGAGCTGCTCCCTGTGATTGGCAGTAACCATGCGCAGCTAGGGCTGCCTTTTGATTGGAAAGCAGGGGGGCTTCCACCTCCCAAACCAAGCATGACCTGCTTAGCTTATAGTTTGCAGGGACGGGTTCAAACACGACTCTCACTCTGGGAGGATTTGCCCAGCAAAGGCGAAACTGACTTTGAAGTCTATCACAGCAATGCTGCTTCTGCACTTCACACCAGCAGATGGAGAAGTCCAGCTTCCGCTGGGAAGCGTGAAATGGTTAGCTAGCCTCTCTGGCAGTCGTCAAGTTCTTTTCCACAGGCCCTGTTTCTTCATTCATCTTAGCACCCCTCATAGGAGTCACCAAGGTAGCAAACTCTGCATGACTCTATCCAAGCATCCGCAGTCTTATGAAGATTATGGATACTGGTATCCTGCCTGTCCCTTCAGGAGGGTGACATTTTTCTAGACTAACATGAATATGCACGCAAAGCCCTTAGAAATTATTCTCACTGAAGAACCATGACCCACATTAGGTACCCTCCATGGCCCAGATCTCCTACCATTACTTTGCTGTCTAAGATTCCAGGGCCCTTAGGCATCATTCTCTGAACTTTCAAACAGAGTCTACATTTTACCATCTAGAGAGGTTCTCAGATCCAGAAGGAAGCCTCATTGTTAACCACCTTTCAAAGTCTTTTCTAGTAGATTGTCTTCCATCCCAGTCCTTGACCATCTCCTGTACCAGCTGTGGCGGACCACCACTAAGCTCTTAAGTGGATCCATGCTAGGTAAAAGGGTATCAGGTTTGCGGGGCTATCAGTGTGGATGCTGACTCCACCTGTGGGACACCTAATATTCATGAATGGAATTTAGGGGTGATTGTGGTCTTTTGATAGCTTTTCCGCCCCTTGTGGACATTGCTAGGAGGTATGCAAGAGGTGGTCTTGGTCTCCATAATACAGTTTATAGCCACTGTCATACAAGAGTCTATCCATGATTACCAAGAAACTCAAAGAGCCTATTCTCATACAGAAAAATGACAGAGATATTTGTGGTGTGTTCTGAGGATTAGCTCCACGACCCGGAAATATGTGTCAGAGAAAACTCGAGTTAGATCTATTCCTTTTCTCCCACTGTCCACCAGCATCTCTCTCTCTCTCTCTCTCTCTCTCTCTCTCTCTCTCTCTCTCTCTCTCATTCAGAAAGGATAGGATTTTAAAGATGACACCATGTTAGGTAAAGGGAAGGCTCTGAGTTTTGTAGTTTTTGATATTTTGATATGTATCTAGGGAAGATCTCACACAGGGAACCCACACAAACGAGGCAGAATCTCAGTTGGTCTATGGTTGAATTTACTTTTCCCATTTTTCTGCTATATGTGGCTGTATGTTAGAGCTGGCAAGAGGCTAAGGAGGGCTTCACATTGATTGGCCAATGGGAAAGGCAAGTCAAGGCTTTCAAATGACACTGTTATCTCTCCATTTTATCTTTTGTTTTGCCTATCAGCCTGGGTTGGTGACTCATTTTTAGGTAACTCATCTCAGTATAATCTATTGACTTTATGGTATTGGATCAACATATTGTTCATGCTTAGCCTTGGATCTAGACATATCTTGTGGAACTTGTTTTAGCTTGGTGCTGATGGTTAGCAGGGGTGGCCAGCTACAGGCTAACGAAGGGTGACTTTCTTTATTCTATCCCCCACATCATTTATCACTCAGCTCTACATCCCATAATCATCCTTACTTCTAAGAAGACACTGAGTTTCAATTTTCCTACCCTAGCCTTCCTGATTAACCACTTCTAACCTAGCCAAGGATTTTTCCATGTATTGTTCAGCCTGATAATTTAATGTCCAAAAATGGTGAAGTTGGAGTTCAAATCAAAGAGCAAGCTCTTATCCTACTTACCATGGTGTACCATGCCATAGTGATCTGTCTGTCTTTCCTAGTGGTACCTGTTTGGAGTGCTGGATGTTATAGGAACCCAAGGATTGTATAGAGCTAAGCAAATGGTGTTTAAGATTCCAAATGTTTGTATGACATATATCCTAAGATTTGCCCATATCAAAAGCCACAGGACTCTACCAAGACAATAGGCACTTCCCAATAGTGAAGGATCTTCTGAGTAAGACTACATCTTGTTTCTCCTTTGTCTGTTGGGTTTTGTGGGCTCAACCTTCACCATGCCTGGTAGGTAAGTCCTCATTATTCTGGTCTCTCAGTAGGTACCTTGCAGAACCTTCTGCAAGAAGAGACCTAAGCTGAATGTCAGGAGCCGTGCAGTCAGGATATGCACACAGCAATGAGTGTGCCTAGGGGAGTATAAGTTGATGTGAACTTGAGTGAGAACTGACCTTGGAAGTAAGGAACAAGACTAGGTACTATACCTTGGATAGAGATATCATTCTCCAAGGTCCATCAGAGAGATGTATGAGACAAAGGGCAGATTTAAAAAATATATATATATATATATATATTTATGCAGTCATATTTAAACTACAGAGAATAAATTAGCAAATGGAATTTAAATATGTTATGAATGTAAAACATGAGGCTCTAAAGGAATTTGAAGCTGACCATTGTCTTCCCTGGGCTTTATCACTATTTACTGAGTCATTACTTTCACTCTTGTTTCTGTTGTTAAGAGTGGGAAAATCCCAGATACCATGGTGCAAGAATATTGTCTCTGTGCTCAGAAACCAGGTAAAATTTGCTTATATAGGTAAGTGAGTTCTTTCTCTAGATTTTTTTCCCTTGCCAGTAAAGTAGTGATTGCCACAGTCACAGACACTTCAGAAGTGTTGGAAGAGTGAACTCATGGTTTAGAGTCTACAGTAGAGTCTGCTGGTTCCACAGAGTAGGTGACATTGATTGCTCAGCCCCACAGTGAGGGTAAATACCTGAAGCAAGTGGCCTCTTCCATTCCTATACAAAGGGCTGTGCTATGGCTGTCTAGTGGCTGACAGGCCCCTACCTCCTCCACGATAATCCTATCAGTACGATAATATGATGTTGAGATGCAGCTGTGGTCCAACATGAAGCCATGTAGGCCATAAACACACCCAAGTGAGGACAGTTGATCGTATCTCATTTATATCTTACACCTTATCCATTTATATTCCAATAGAGACCAATAGGAAGATCTTGCTAAGTGAGGATTCTCTTTGGTACCCTTTCTTTGCTCATGTAAAGATGAGCTCATTCTATAATAGAAATGAGACGAGACTCTTGGAAGGTGGATTTCCCTGGGAGGTTTCCTGGGAAGAAAAACCTTATAAATTCCTTAGTACCATCTTCATTTCATCTAAGCACTTCTGCATGTTTCCCACTGAATCTGAAGAATCTCATTTCTGTCCATGTGCCTCATTTTCTTTTTGTGCACACTGGCCTAAGACCACTTTCTTTGAGGGTGACTGGGTTATGAGAAAATAAGGGGATGGGCTAACCCTTGGAGAGTTCCCTCAGCATGGCCTGAATTTTCACACATTTCTTTCCCCCTGAACTTACTCTCAAATTCCCATTGTTTGAAATGATAGAGACCACTGTCATCTTTATCTTTCAGCTCTTTCACCCCTTTCTCAGCAGAATGAATTCTAGGATTTCTATGAAATAATCCTTCCTCTGCCCGCTTCCTGTTGGGACTGTCCAAGATCTGAGGAAATAGCATGCAACATGCTAATTGGTTATGCTACGGACTCCTGCAGGCTATAGGAAAGTCCGTTTGGAATAGAAGACAAGAGCCACAGGAAACCAGAAGGACCAGTAGGGGCTGGGGCCTGCGGATAGACTCAAATCTACCTGGTAAGAGGCCCATCAAAGGAGAAGAATGAATCATGGGACCCCTTCGTTTGCCTTTGCTTTGAGATATTTTCTTTTGAACCTCTAAAGTGACAGCCTTCCTTGATCAGGTCTGGTGTTCTTGGACTTCTAGACAGGTCCTGGGCTCATGCCAATGGAAGTTGACTTCCTGGTTTCCTTTCATATCTTGTCCTTGTAGGTTTAGAGGTCAGGGTTGTTGACCCTGCCCCATGGTAGAGTAGAGACCTGGTGTTTTACACAAGAGCTGAGTTTCATGATCCAGTCCATATTTGTTCCAGCAACAAAATAATGAACACACGCACATGCGCGCGTGCGCGCGCACGCGCGCGCGCGCACACACACACACACACACACACACACACACACACACACTTACGCACAGGTAACATTAAAAGCACACACAGAGGAGGATGTTTTCACAGTGTCTGATGAAAGGAAAAGATGCTGTACTACTGGTCCAGAGGACCTTCTCCCAAACCAAGATGCTGTACTACTGGTCCAGATATAAGATGCTGTACTACTGGTCCAGAGGACCTTCTCCCAAACCAAGATGCTGTACTACTGGTCCAGATATAAGATGCTGTACTACTGGTCCAGAGGACCTTCTCCCAAACCAAGTTGCTGTACTACTGGTTCAGATATAAGATGCTGTACTACTTGTCCAGAGGACCTTCTCCCAAACCAAGCTGAGTGCATCACTGTTGAGCTCTGCCAGCTTCTTGTTGCCTGCAGGGCGATGACCGTGCTCTTTACATTTCCTCCCTGGCTCTGGCTACCTTCCTGCTATTATCCCTGTCGTGCTCTATTCTAGCTGGGCAGACCTCTCACCATCTGTCCCTCCTGATACTTTCTCACTTCTCTTTACCATTGTGCACATTAACCCCCTTGGCTTGACTTTCCCTTTTTTCTGTTCTATCTGTTTAGACCCAGCTGGAATGGGTGTTGCTAGGCAGAGTGAGTTACTCTCATGTCTAGGCTCATTGAACGCTTGTATGTTCCACTATTACAATGTGGCTCAACTTTCCTAGTATACAGGGAGCCTGAAGGGCAAGACGCGTACCTTATTGGATTCTGTGTCCCTCATACTTTGTGGCTAAATCAGTCTGCAAGATAGACCTTTCTAGACCCCTGGCTATTAAGGCTGTCAAATATTGTGGCTCAGCCCAGGCTAGAGAGATTCCCAGGCTGGCTCCCTTGTACCCTGAGGGAACATGAGAATTGTTTTTAGCAATGAAGAAATTAGATAAGATTAGCTTTCCCGGGGAACTGGGAATGAGTTAATAAAAATATTTCCGAAAGTTTGGGCTACCGAGAAAAACTGGTAGCAGAAAGAAAGAATTAAATTTTCTGCTCATGGCCTTCTCTCTCTGCTCAGAAGTTTCTGGCCTTATTTTTCTTCCATTAAATAACTGCGTGGCTGAGAAAGCATGAAGAAAATGGCAGGGAGGTTTCATTGCCATCACCTGTCTTTTTGAATCCCGAATTCCATCACTGAAGAAGGTGCTCGGGTTCCTTCAATTACAAAATGGAGGTGATGCAAACCCTTTCCAGGGGTGCAATGAGACGTCATATGGGAGAGGATAAGTATGGCACTTGGTTTGCGGCAAAGCTTCACCAATGTTTCCCTTTTCTGAATTTACTCATGCTTTGGGCAAGACTAAGAATTCCAGGAGCTAAACCTGCTTAATGTATTAGAAACCAGCCTGGGGGCCACAGTAGCCATTTTCAAAACAGCAGCTGGATTTCTTTAGGAAAGTGTTCAGATTTGGAGAGACAAATTATAAAGCTATTTCTGTATTTCCCCCCAAATCAGAGACCAATCCCTGGAGGACCACCTCACTTCTTCAACGGCTGTGTCATCAGTGGGACTTTTCAAGGGAATGGCCAGGAATCATGATAAGCCCAAGAAAAGTATTTTACAGCCACACTAAAACTACCATCCTCCCTTTTTCTTTTCTTCCTTTTTTTTTTTTTCTGACATAAGGGAATGCGGGATTTATATTCTCAAATGGTTTCTTTTCACATGTACTTGGGAGAACAATCAAAGCTTTTCTTGTTTGTCTTTCATACAGAAAGTACCACCTAGGGAGCACAGGGTTATACCATAGAGGCCAGTCAGAACCTGCCCAGGAGAGTGGCCCTTTCTACAAAGATAAAAAGGTACTGCAACATTTCCTATGAATCCTCCTCCCCGACAGACTATGGAAAAGCAAAGGAAACCCTTGCCCAAGTATGACGTGGAAATAGCTGGTTGGCCAGGAGAATACAGAAGGTCAGGTCTTGGCTGGAGATGGTAGTCATGAGTCAAACCCAGCATAGGTTAGGTGTGAAATGAAGAGGACCCCTGATATGGTCTAGGGGTTATCCAGAAGTCACACTGATACAGACTGGCAAGTGTCTCATGCCAGAGACCCTTATAGGAGACTGTAGAACCCAATAACCCAGTGATCCCCAAACTACTGTCTTTTGCAAGATAGAATGGAGAAGAACTTCCACCCCCAGTCCTCCTAAGGACAGCAAGGGAAGGGCTGGCCAGCTCCCCATACCCCAGCACCCGCACAGTCAGCTCGTCATGAGATTGACAAACTCAGAAAGAACAAAAGCAAGAGGTCTGGGGATTGGAAGTCCAGGGCCTTGCTTGAGTGTAAACTTCTGTGGGCCCCATGTCATCAGGTGTAGAAGGGAAGCTCGGGCCCCATCACAGCAGCATCTCCCACGGCTACAGAAGACCCGCCAGAAGCTGCAGAGCCCACAGCAGAGCACGAGACCACCAGTCTTCTTCTAGGAGTTGGGCAGGTGTGCCACCTCCGAACTCCTGAGACCAGTCATCGTCAGTCACAGAAAAAGAGGGTCAGCTGCAACAAACAGCCTCTGGACTCTGGCAGGTTTCCCATCCAACTGGGCTAAAAGGAGCTTAAATATTCCAGCGCCACCTCATATACAAATTTATACTGTTCCTGAGAGGAGGAGAAGGGAGATGGAGACAAGAGAGAGATAGAAAATAAAAGAATGCATTAGATTAGAGAGGTAGGTTTTGGAGAAAACTGTCTGCACCCACACTAAACATCAAATAGAAATAATCCATATTCCATGTCCAGACAACCTTCAGCATCCTGACTGATGCCTGCTTCTACTCATGCTTCCCAGATTGTCCAGCTGAGATCATGCCCTTTCAATTACTACATTGCACACCAAGGCAGAACATGCAAGGGTATTATATATTGAAAATGAAGATTCTGATTGAGCCAGTTTGGGATGGGGCTCAAGATACCACCTTCTTCACAAACTCCCAGGTGTTGCTGCTTCTACCAGTCTCTGGACCACATTGAGCAGCTATAAAGACACTTACAGTCAAATTCCTTGATGGGTTGTCTCCACCATTGTACCAGATCTTAACATCTGGACTCTGCCTTCCCACTAGCTTTACTATCCTTTCTCCAAAGCATCCCAGTTTAATGCTTTATATTGTAAAGTATTAGTGTAAGTGAGTTAGAATAGGCTTGGGCTGAACTGAAAACCTAATTCACAGGTTACTATTCTAGAATCCTTCCTTGATGTCTGAATTAGTGGCATTTTAAGGAGCAGGCAGAAAGCAAAACCAAGTAAGTGGACTGGGATTACTCTTTAGATTGCCCTGCAGGAAAGAGAAGTTGGTGGTGTTGGAAAGACACAGGAAAAGTGGCAGTATCATCCAGGAGAATAGACTACAGGTATTCAAATAAGACCCAGTTGTTGGGGATGTGTCCTGTTTACGGACACACATTTTTTTTCAGGTCCTGGGAACAGAAAGACTTTGGCTGTTGGACCATGGTTGTTGGCAGCTCACCAGTGTCTCCACCATGTTGGACTTGTTGTTGCGCAGAGTTTTCACGATGTGGAACACGTCAATGATGTTCTGCTGTTGGATCATCTCGCACACACTGCAGATGGCACAGAAGGTTCCGCTGCGGCCGCCTCCATTTCTAAACCAGAGTGAATGGGTAAGCAAATCCCCAGGACCCCCTACTCAGATACATGTCGATCCTAACGCTGCATCGTGGGAGCAAGGAGTAGTTGTCCTAGCAGATGTGTGAGCAGACAACCATAGAAACTTGAGTTGATGGGCGGTGGTGGCACACGCCTTTAATCCCAGCACTCGGGAGGCAGAGGCAGGCAGATCTCTGTGAGTTCAAGACCAGCCTAGTCTACAAGAGCTAGTTCCAGGACAGGCTCCGAAACCACAGAGAAACCCTGTCTCGAAAAACCAAAAAAAAAAAAAAAAAAAAAAAAAGAAGAAGAAAAGAAAAAAAAAAGAAACTTGAGTTGAGTCATGGGTTTTGGGTTAAATCTCACTGGGGCTCTGAATCCTCTTTGACCTTGGGAAAGGCACTTCTTGGTTTGTGTCCTGAGTTCCCCATTTATTTATTAGAGATGTTAGACTATGTGACCTTTGAGTGTTTAGTTAGAATGATGTCTGTTTGGCTCTGTGAGCATTTTATAATCATTCCAGGAACACTATTCTACATTCTCAGGGCAGGATGGTATTGTGTCTTTGTACATTTGGTACCTACATCCATGCCCAAAAGGATGCTCTACCAGACATCCACTGAAAACAATGGAAGTCACTAGGAAGTTTTATTACTATTTCTCTCTATCTTCTAATAAAGACAACAGTAATTTTTGAGTCTTGGGATAGCTACCCCTGACTTTGGGCTGTGGTCTTGGAACATTGGCTTGGTATATCTGAAACACCAGACTAATTCCACGGTTCTCCTTATAAATCTTGTTTAAATAGGGTCCTGCTGGTCTTGGGAATAGGAACTGAGCATTCTTGGAATGGTCATCCTCAGTTGCTCTTTCTTTCTGAAGCTCCATAAATTACCCTTATGGAAACAAGCCTCTTCAGGAACCTACCTGATTCTGAATTCCTGGGCGAGCTGCCAAAGGCAGCTAATGATTTCATGTAATGGTCTGTGTCTAAGGAACATCTGGGCAGAAATGAAGGCACTTAGTCAAATCTCCCAGATGTTTCACCTACAGGAAGCCTAACAACCAGATGTTTCAAATACTCAAAACCATCCTCCCTTAACTGGTGGGTGCTTGTATTTCAGTGACTGTCATGATGCCTGGGGACCCCAAGGTTGTCCATTTCTCTACTAGTAGGATGACACACTGTGCTGGTCACCTAGAACAGGTGAGAATGGGTGAAAACAAGCAAAAAAACCCCCAACCAGCCAAAGAAACCACTCCTGCCCCCATAGACTAGGAAATAAAAACACTGGAGTGTAGGAAGCCTTCCCAGGAAGGTTTAGTATCTTTTGAAATAGAACATAGGACCAAGAGGATGAAGGAAAAAAGATGCATCATCTTAGGGCCTCATGGGAGTCCTGAGGAATGGACATTGTCCTGTGCTAATGAGGGGGCATCTAATGTGTTGGAAGGAACTGGAGGGAGCCAGGGTTGGAAAACAGCCTCTAGTTTCTGTGATATATAGTTAGAGACAGCTTGGCATGTCTGACATCGTCCATCACCCTGAGAAGATACACCATACAGTATCTTCCTGGAGTCCGTGCAGAACTGTATCCTTATACAGAAGTTTCTACAGGTGGGAGCTTTTCAGCTCTGAGTGCGCACATGTGTATTTAACCTGCTCTAAGCTCTGACCTTCCTGACACATATGAACCACCTATCTGGAAGAAAGTGAACAATTAGCGACTTTGGAAAAGACAACTCAATTCTGAAGCCAATAAAAGATAATTAATGCCTCCACTCACACAAGAAATAATTATTCTGACAAGAAGATAAAAGCGTGGTTCAGATGTTCTGCAATACACGATTTTTTAAAAGAGGAAGGCCTTTTAGTCATTTCTCTCCAAAATGATGCTCTAACAAGTTGGCGGTTGTAGATAGCCTGCATACATCTCTTATGGCTGCAGATTGTGTATAGGTCTGAACTCTTCATAGAACCCTGCCTCATGGTAGACTCTGTGACATCTTAAGGAATTGTACTCACATATTTTCTGCTATGGCATTTGTAAATCTCTCTGTTGGCAGATATATTATTCTCTTCTAAATGCTTCATGCATGAGAACTACAGGCTCTAAACATGATCTGCTTCAACATACCCAAATGGACAGATGGGAAAACAAGGGTAACATAATTAAGTACTTTTTAAATTTTTTTTTTATTTTTGATGATGTAGTTGGCCAGCCACAATCCTTGAGCCACAAGGATCTTGATCTCTGCTTAGCACAATGTCATGGGGCCCATTGTACTGAGCTGTACCTATCCCAAAACAGAAAGCAAAGACCATTCCAGTGGCTAGTCTTAAGCTCACTGTACCTCTTGGGGGGGGGACACAGATTCCAGGGCTTTGAAAAATCTATCTGCTGGAGTAGTGTCTTCCTCTCAGGCTCTCTGTGTCCCTATTCCTACTAAGCACAAGGTAAGAGATATCCCAGGAGGCTGACACCGTGAGCAAGTCCAAGCCGTCCTCATATTGTCCAAGAGGTCCCCATCCTGCATGCTCTTCATCCTCCCTCTTCTTAGATGCAGTGTGGGACAGCAGACAGTACACCGGCTTGCTTAATTGAGTTCCTCTTGCTCTCTTCCCTTACCCATCTATGCTTTTTGTTTGCTTACTGCAAAATGATAGTATCTGCCTCGCGGATGGGATGAGGTGATTCATTTTAAATGCCTGACTAAATTTTAAATCAAGCTAATATAGTACCATCCTTTTTCTTTTCCTTGAGGAAATAACACAAGGGAGCTCTGGTCAGTGGGACCCATTTTATCCCAAGCTTTCTTGTACCTAGTAGAATGGTGCACACACCTCCTTTTAGACAGTGGAACTCACTTCTGTATTGGGAGCACCGGGAAGTGGTCTGCCTATAGTATTCCACTTCAGCAATATGTCATACAAAAATAGTTTAGAAAAACTGGCACCTCAGTTTATTAAAGGACTCTAATTCCTTTGAATTAATAAATAAATCAATAAATTATATTATAAAGAATGTTGCTATGATGCCTAGGACTGGCATATGCAACCAGAAACAATTTCCAATACTCTGTCACCCATCGCTACACTGCTCTGGAGACATCTCTGTGGTACTCACAGGCAGTGGACCACAGTGCGTCCCTCTCTCCCATCGTACTGCTCCTGCCACTTCTCCAGCCGTCGGACCACTTTGAGTAGAGAGCGCTTGGAAGGGGGTGTGTCCCGGTATGCAGGCCAGCCAATATACTGGAGGTGCTGGACAATACGGTAACCATCCTGTGGCTGAGAATAAGCATTGTTTAGGGCTCTTCTGCTGGGGATGTCTGGGGATACAAGCCTTTCAGATTCCCTGGGGGCTGTAATAGAGTAGAAATCAGGCAGAGTGGGGGCCTTAGCTGTGCCATTATGGGCACGGAGTGTCTTTATACCTAATACCCCTTGTGCATGCTGCTTAAATTCTCTACACCTTGAAAAGTCCTGCCAATCTTCAAACTCAATTCAGATATTCCTTTCTTTAGGAACACTTTTCTTGTTCTGCCAAGTAGAATTCTTTCTCTTTGAAGGTCATTTGTTGGAGTATATTTGATTTCTCTTTGGTAGTAAACTGAGGGCAGAGACCGAGTACCGTTGTTGGGACCAATTGGAGTCCTGCCCTTCAGCTTCTCTTCCCTGCTAGAGCTTTCTAATTGAAGTTACTAAAAGCTGTGCCTTGCCTAGAGGATCAGAGGATGGGATTTTCACCTGTTGGCCATTGATTGCTGGGTATTTAAGCCTCTATGGTGCTATTAAAGAAGGGCTTTGTACCAGTGACTGGAGGTCTGTGTGTCTGTCTCTGTGTGTGTGTGTGTTTCCTCAACCTCCAGCCCCTTACCCAAAGCTCGTGAACTGGATTCTAGCGCATAGAGCGCAGATCCACCATTCTCCGAGCTCTCAGTGAAGAGCAAGAGTAGTTAGCCATTGTTTCATGGATTTTTAATGTGTCCTCCCACCCAGAATTCAACCAGTAAGTATCCCTTTGTAAGCAACTCTCTGTGGTCCGTGTCAATGTTAGTAGGAATTGGTCTGAAGCTCCTAAGATCCAAACGAAGGGTACCAGTGCAGTGTGCCAGAGTGTGGAAGAGCTAATGTCTGGGAAGTTTTGTCTACACGGCTGCTAGAGTGTCAGGAAATAGGCAGCTGGCAGGCTGGATGCCGCTCTATCTGTGCTACAGCCATTGCTGGGTCTGGAGTCGGAATCAGCAGAGACATCACTTCCCTAAGGAAGAGCTTATCAGGAGGGAGGAACAGACTCTTGGCTGGCTCAGTGGGATCCTCTCCCAGCAGCCTCCATCTGTTCTGCAAAGAAGGGGAACGGGGAGCCATGGTGGCTTTGCACTCACCCGAGCCATGTTACAGATACGGAAGATTCTGTGGATGATGTCCTCATCAATGTCTGCGGAGACAAACTCCACCTGGATGGGACCATAACACCCGGAGGTCTTCTCAGGCCAGTATTGCATACAAAGCTGCAGAAAACCAAACCAAACAAAAAACAAAACAAACAAAAAAACCCCAGAGGTCACAGGAGGCCAAGGTCAAAGAAGGGGGCACATAAATGTTCTTTGTCACTGAGCCTTTATTGTGAGAAGGACACATGACCAGAAAGGTCCAGTCTTATGAAGCAAACCGTATGAAACTTCCCTGTTTCATACAGGTCCAATTTCTTTTGTTCTAAAATGCTGAAGCTTTGAACGAAGTGGGGGGGCTTAAAAACATTTTTTTTGTGCTGATTTCAATTATTTCTTACTTTGCTGGACCTCAGTCTTTTCAATTGTGAAATGGGGAGAACAGTGTCTGGACCTCAGTTGTCTCTCCTGTGAAGTGGGGAGAACAGCATTTACCTGTAAAGCTGTGCTGGCAGGGTTTTCGTAGCTCCAAGTGAAGGAGCTACTAAATATTTGTTTATACTGTGAAGATATGTCTTTGTCAAAGGCACAATCTGGCTTTTATTATGCCAACCATTTCCATTTCCAGAAAAGTCTACAGTGACTGTTCACAGTCATATACTCAGACTGATTGTTTAAAAAAGTACAGATTTGGGCATTGGACAGTCTTAGCTCCAAATCCAGGCTCTAATGCTTATGGGTTTTGCCACTCAGATCTCTGCTCTCAGGTGCTAATTGAGGGTAAGTGGGTCTCCTTCAGACCATAAGAAAGAGCACTTACTTGGTACCAAGAGAGCTTGCTGCTATCTTCCCAGAACTCTTAGAATTGGGAATTACACACATAGCTGGGAGCCAGAGCCATGGTTACCCCTCACTCTAAGAGAGTGGCTCTCAGCTAGAGGCCATTTGTTCCTGTCCCCCAATGTCTGGAGCCAGTTTTGATCATCCCAGCTGTGAGAACAGGCTAGGATGCAGCTAGACATACCATAATATTCAGAATACTTCTTGAGAATACTGTCAGTCCAGTGCAGTACTGCAGAGGCCGAGGAACCTGGGTGTGAGACCCTAGGTGGTCTTTTGTATAAGTGTGTCATCAAAGAGGATGGGTGTTCTTCTGTGACTATTGATTTGTTGGGTGAGTTTAGTGTGGGTGTCTGTGGAAAGGCAACACGTACTCCTTCAAATTTCTGGTCTCTGAGAAGCATGGAGATGCTCCCTGCCTATCTAGTGTGGTGGTCTCCTCTGAGGCAGGGTTTTCTTGGGAAAGAAAAATTGCTCTCTTTTTTTGTTGATGGTACTGAACTGACAATTTACCCTGGGGAGTCACTTTAGCTGTGATTGGTAGACTATGACCTAACAGTCATAGGAAGTGGTTTTGTAAATAAAGTTTTATTGACACACATTTGTTAACCTGTTCTTGAATTGTTTATGACTACTGCCATGCAGTGCTGCAGGTACAGATCTGAGTAGTTTCGACAAAGACCTACAGTATTTTCTCTGTAACCATTCATACCAATCTTTGCCACCTCTTTCTCTGTTAGGGCTTTTTGAGGATAAAGGGGATAATTCATGAAAATAAATCACTTAGTACTGTACCAGCTGTGAAATGAATACGTACTTGATATTGCCGGTAATTATTGCATTTATAATTCAATGGTATAGTTACTGCCACTATCATCCACATATTCCTTGGCTCATGATGGGGCTGCATCCCCAAAAGTGCATCATTGGTTGATGACATCATAATGTAGAGAATGAATTTAGACCTGGGGATGTAGATCACCGCTTCACATGCATGAGGCCCTATGTTTAATACCCAGCACTGCAAAAAATATACTCAATACACATAACCTTCTAACTATTGCAGTTTTGCAATGAAGTACTGCATCCTGTTAAGGACTAGCAGTTTCTCTACAGGATGCTGTGTGTCTGGGATCTCTAGCTTGCCGCCATTACCTAACCGTCACCAGAGAGTACTGCCTATCACTGGTCCAAGGAAGACACCCAAATCAAAATTTATAAAACTTCTATCAAATTTATATTATTTACACGACATTTTAAAGTCAAAATTCTCAAGCTGAATGTCGGGAGTCATTCTGCACTTAGATATGAAGAATGTTCCTTCTTACCGCTCCTCTCGAGTGGCAAAGACATGCAAGGTGATGTTTCATAAAGCATTAGTCCTCTGCTTGCCCAGCGTCTCCACTGGGGGTTAATCAAGTATATTGAGAGAGGAGATGTGGCTGTGGGGGTGGGGGAGGAGGGCTGGTCACAGGGGCCTCTGCAGCTGGACAATCCGCTGCTGCTGAGCTGTACAGTAATGACAAATCCGCAATTTGAACTTCATTTCTCTTTGCCACTGGCTCTTCTGCCTTGCAACCTTCACAGTAATGAGGGACTGGTACAGATAAGTCTGTGGTTGGCCAGAGAAACTGGAATTAATCAGAACTTCCCATTTAAAAAAAAATAATTGCCTTTATTGCCTGCATTGAATTTAGCCTTGCCAGAATTCGGCTGTGATCCTGACATGAGGTGCAAGGATTTGAGGCGCTGGGGAGAGTCTATTACCCCCAATATTTTCAGCCTGAGGAGAATGTGGAATGATTTGTCACTTTTAATAAGATTTCCAGACCAATTTCTCAAGCTAATAGGTTCTACTATGCCTCAAACAAGAGTCCTATATTTTAGGACACTTCTCTGCGTTTGATTTTCCAGGTCACTCTCCCATAATGCCCAGGGGGCTGTAGAAGGTTGCAGGGTCCTTCTAATCCTAAATCGCTGCCATCTTTTCACTTCGGTTCCCTAATTTGTGAGACCACAGCAGCAGCAGTGGGTGACATCGGCTGGGCGATGTGTGGGCAGATGTGCGTTTGAGCTGCCAGAGATCCTCAGGCTCTCCTCACAGCCCAGCATGCTGCATATAACCCAGAAACAGAAAATAGGAGGCAGACATGTAGGGATGCCGAGCACTCTATTCCCAGTGACCCTTCTGGACTTGTACATGATTTTCATCAGCAAAGTGTCTTCTCTGGTTGTCTTGAGACCATCTTTGTGTCTGAATGCATGGTTCCATTGAAGCAGAAGCTTCCATTTTGGCTTGAGTATGAAGCACAGAAAAAGTAGGGTAATAAACGCATTGGAGTTTCCAACTGAAATATCTTCTATTTCTTTCTTTTAATTTTTACTTATTACTATTAGTATACATGTGTATGTTTAGTGTGTGTGTGTGTGTATGTGTGTGTGTGTATGTGTGTGTGTGTATGTGTGTGTGTATGTGTGTGTGTATGTGTGTGTGTATGTGTGTATGTGTGTGTATGTGTGTATGTGTGTGTGTATGTGTGTGTGTAAGTGTGTGTATGTGTGTGTATGTGTGTGTGTATGTGTGTGTATGTGTGTATGTGTGTGTGTATGTGTGTATGTGTGTGTATGTGTGTGTGTATGTGTGTGTGTATGTGTGTGTGTGTGTGTGTGTGTGTGTGTGCACATGTCACTTGACTTCGGAGTTCAGAAGACAACTTTCAGGGGTTGGTTCCACTCTCCCGCTGTGTCCACTGGTTCTGGAGGTTGAATTTAGGTGGTCATGCAGTGTCCCCAGCCAGTTCTCCACTGAGCTATTTCACCCGGTCCCATTTCTGTGGCTTTGTTTTTATTTCCTTTCCATTATTTTCTTTTCTTCCTGTCTTCTTTAGTTTTACATTTAAAATATATTTTTCATTCTCCTTTTTCTTCTCATGGCTTTTTTTTGGAATGTACTCTTTTTTAAATTAATTAATTTATTTATTAAAGATTTCTGCCTCTTCCCCACCACCGCCTCCCATTTCCCTCCCCCTTCCCCCCGATCAAGTCCCCCTCCCTCATCAGCTCGAACAGCAATCAGGGTTCCCTGCCCTGTGGGAAGTCCAAGGACCACCCACCTCCATCCAGGTCTAGTAAGGTGAGCATCCAAACTGCCTAGGCTCCCACAAAGCCAGTATGTTCAGTAGGATCAAAAACCCATTGCCATTGTTCTTGAGTTCTCAGTAGTCCTCATTGTCCGCTATGTTCAGCGAGTCCCGGTTTTGTCCCATGCTTTTTCAGAGTGGTGAAAGAAGAAAGACAAATACTACATTTCCTTGTGTGCAGCTGGCCCTAATTTCTGCAAGTGTGTGGTCATGTGGGTGTCTGTGCAGTAAGAGGTCAGGAGACTGGAAAGCTTCCAGGAGAAGAGAAAGGGGCTTTAAGGAAGCGGAGTGAGGAGGGTAACACAACACAGGTGACAAAGGAGAATGCTAGGACAGAAAGGTACAAATGGGGGAAGGATACCGGAAGTTTGGGGGCTGGAGAAGCACGGGGGGGTGGGGTGCATCAAGGAAAACTAAGTTTGTGTGAAAATGTTAGAAACCTGTTACTTTGTATGTTGGTTTAACAACAACAACAAATGAATCAACAGGTTTCCTTACAGTATTTTCAGACATAACTTGCTTTTGTTAAGCCTCCTCCTTCTCTGCTCTCCTCCCCACCTCCCTGCTCCCTCTTGTGTCTTTCCATCCTCTTAGCCCCCTTTCTTCCTATCACAGGGATTCCATCACTTCCCAGTCTGATTCAGAGCCCTTCTCCCTGTGGTCCCCTTCCTAGGTTCATTACCTATAATCTACATTTACATTAGCAGAGATAAAAATTAAAAACTGGGAGCTGGGCAATGGTGTCACATGCCTTTAATCCTAGCACTTGGGAGGCAGAGGCAGGTGAATCTCTGTGAGTTCAAGGCCAGTCTGGTCTATAAGAGCTAGTGCCAGGACAGGCTCCAAAAAGCTACAGAGAAACCCTGTCTCGAAAAACAAAACAAAACAAAATAAATAAAAATAAAAATCTAGGGTTTAATTTTAATACTTTTTCTCTTGGTAACTTGTCTAGGACTCTTAATTCATCCAGTTTATTACAAGGGGATGTGTGCCTCTTAATGTCTCTTTGCACAGGGATGTCTCCAGTGAGAAGGCAACATTAGGCAGCATAACTTAAGACGGGATGAATAAAGGGAAAGATTTTTTATTTTTATTTCGGTTTTAGTGTTTCTGAAAATTTATCTTTGGGATTAATACCCA